AACTGCTTATGTTGTCTTCATGAATATTTCATCTATGCTTAAGATAAGAGCAATAAAGTGTTTATTTGGTATTTAGCTACTGGAGTTTATTTGTTACTGTCTGTTTAATTCCTTAGTATTCTGAGCCAAGCCTGTGTTTTGAAAATGTATGTTTTCAATAATGGTAAATGTCATACATTAGACCCTGATTGGAAACAAAACAAATGGAGCTGTGTATCATTTGTTCATTACAGTCAGCATTTGCTTCCAAGTTGACTTCCTGCATAGAAACTGCAAGTTTTGTCAAAAAAGATAAGTTATTGTGAGAAACAGGAAGTTAATGACTGAGGCAAACATGCGAACAATCACCACAAAACAACACATTCTGGAATACAACATTCTGATTTAACATTGATGAAAAGTGGACCAGAAACTACGATTTTTGAAACCTGATTCCAGAGTGAACACAGAACGTAGGTTTCATGTGTCTGTTTCCAAGAGTCCCATTGTAACTCCGGTGGAGGTTTTGTAGAGATGCACTGTTCATGTGGGAGAACTTGAAGAGTGGATGGCATAGTTGTGAACAATTCACAGAAGTAGTAATGGACTCTTATGCAAGATCTGCAAGAAGAAAGCTGTAAGACCTGCTTAAAGTGTGCTTGGAGCAATGTATGTACGCTACATTTATATTAGTACCTGCCAATGCCATACACTATATATATATATATATATATATATATATATATCGACTGGACATGCCCCTGCTGCATCCCTGGCACCTGCCTCACCGGGGGCTCATCATCAACGATGTAGCAAAATTGCTTCCCAGCTGCCTGCCTGTCTGCCTACTCCTGGGTGTACCAGTCTGTGAAATCACTGCTAAGCACCGCTGAGCCTGCCAGCGAGAATGTATTATTGATTTATATTGAAAACTGTTAACAAGATAAAGTGTGGACTTGCACTGCTTTTACCGAAAATCGCGACAACAGAAAGTACCAGGTCTGCTGTTACTTTCTGCTGCAGGTTACACATTCTGAAAAGTTACTCGTTTACATTTTGTTGTCTTCTGTAATAAACATAACTGATCCCATATTTATATGATGCATTAACTTATGTTAACTTATAAAGCTTTGTAGCACGCTATTGGACATTTCAGCTCCAGGTAGGATTTTTAAACTTTTCTCAATAATGTAAACTCCTCCACAGTCAAAAATTCAGTGTTTAATGGATGAAACAAAATGTTATTAACTTTCATAGATTTCAGAGTGTAGCACGGTTGTTTCACCGTTATCCTATCACAAAACTATCAGGAAAAGGCAGAAACAATAGAGCTGTCTATAAGAGCTGGGGTAATAGCAGGGTGCCACAATAATAAGCATCCCTGCTGTTAATATTGTGCAAAGGCCCCTTTTGCCAGTAGAAAGAGAACTTAGTCTTTTCCTAGTATTTCAAAACAAAGATGGGTTTTTGATCATTCCTCTTTGCACAATCTCTCTAGATCATTCATTATCCTCTCATGCTCTTCAGCTCAACCCACAGGCTTTCTGAAGGATTCAGGTGTTGGAAATGAGATATTCATGGAAAAAGGTTGTTTGTGTTTATCTTAATTCTTATTAATTTGGACCAAATTTGAATTAATTTTATCTGTTAAAATGTACAAGTATCACTTTTTGGTCAATGGCCACCATATTTCTGTTTAAATATCCTGCGAGTTCAAGGAACTCTTGACTGTATTTACTTTAAGCAGGAACTTTTAAAGTGAAACAGGTTCTTATTGTATTTAAGGTGAGCATGAGGTGTTTTACCACATATTTAGTCTTTGTTTGACACTAAACCAACCAGAAGTGTTTGGTCCTGACCAGCTCAATGTCAAACTAATATAACCAAACCACAAAGTTGCAAATAATTTTCTGGTACAATTTTGCCAACTGCCTTCCAAATAACCACTACTCATGTAAATATCATTTAGTATTTGCAATGAAGACTTACTGACCTAAAGAGGCCACACTTTGCCAACAACAATGTCCAGCCTAGTTTGTCACAGTCCCAGTTATTTCAAATATTTTTTTTCATTATTGTTGAGTCTGCATCTGCCTCAATTCAATTGCACTCTCTATTATGTAATATTTTTGAAAGTATTTTATTTGAAATAGGCATCTGGGTCACATGGATGGATAAATGAAAGTCTCAAGTTGATTAACAACTTAAAAATGAATAAAATATTATTAAAATGCATTACAATTTTATAGAAATTACTAAGTTGCCAATAAACATTTTAGTGAAAAAAATGTGTTTTTAAGTCAAATTCATGAACAAGTTCAAATTAAAGAATGTTGTTTTTTCAGTTGTTTGGTGTGAGAATATGCCACTGAAAAAAGTCACATCTGAATGAACTGCTTAGAAATTGTTGAATACTACAACTGATTGAAAATTGGAACATTTATTAAAACTAAGCTGCAGTGACAAAGCCGTGATTTAGTAATGTTCATGCTACCTCTAGTGGTCAAAAGATGTACTTACATGATGCATACCTAATGCTAATAAAATTCTAAATACTGAGACAGTAGACTTGTGTGCGTGTGTGTGTGTGTGTGTGTGTGTTTGTGAAAATACAATAATCTGTGTTTCTGTGTGCTTTATTGCTTTTTCTGACAACAAAAGAGACTGAAGAGCATTGCATTGTTTTATTTGCACATCTCACAAATGCTGACAAAGTGTTAAAATACAACCATTTTAAGGGTTTAGAGTCTTCAAAAATTAAACTAAATGACAGAAACGGTTAAAGGTGGGACTTTTTGTAAAGTAAATTTAGTCACCAGTTTCTGTTGCTCCAACTTCTGGGTTCCAAAAAGTTGGAGAAACCACAGGTTTATTGTACTACAAAAAAAAAAAAAATGAGATAATGTTCAGCTGAACTCACTCCTGGTGCAGTTGCAGGTTGAAAAAAATTAAAGATGCAGTGTAGCATCCTTTGAGGCTAAAAATACGGCAGGATTACTTTGTTTCATTCTGGTAAAAAGCTTCGCCTTTGGCCTTGAGAGAAATATATTTTTTCTTGTTCATTGTTTGAGGCTGAAACACACAAACTTATCCTCAGCTCTTTGAAAGAAAAAAAAAAAAACAGAGCAAACCTCAGGACCTGTTTTGACATAAACTGCAGTAGGCACATCAGATACCGTTTCGGAAAACGAGTACATTTACAGCTTTGATCAACGATTTCCTGGCCCGAGCATTATTAATCGCTGCGATTACAAGAGCTTGCCACTTTGTACACATTAAATTCATTTTAATGGCTGCACCTGTGTCCCTCCCGCCTCCACCCTGCTGTGATAAAAGGTTTGCCAAATGTGCAGTGACACCAAAGTGAAGGCAGTAATGGCAATTTGTCAGCTGAGAAAGAGCATGGACAGATTTTTTTTTTTTTTTGGCCTTCTGTACATTGCAGAATTTTTTTTATTACTTTTTTCTGCATGAAATAATTCTCTCTTTTGCAAAATCATTTTCAGTTGAAGCACACTGACAACACTGGAATTAAACACAAGACAGGAATAGAGGATAAATCTTTATAATTCAGTTATTACATTTATATCAATAAATGTAATAATGATAACTAATACACTACCAAATTCTACTTAGGAGTACAATTATTGCAAATATATATGTATTTTTTGTCAATACATACAACTTTGACACCCTATAGGCATTTTTACCTTTGAGAGGTTTTGGGGACTTTTTTTTAAAATAGGTTTAAATAGATCTGTTCTTCTGACAATAAATGAGAGGATTGTAAGTGAACTTTTGGATGTCATCTTAATATTGGAGGTTAAAAAAATTGTGTTAAAATACTCAGATATCTAGAGAGAAATCAAACTTTCTAAACTGGCAGATTTAAAAAAAAAATTCATATATTTTTTAAGAAAAATGTATAATCTCTAATCAAAGAATAAACTAACTAAAACCTTCCAGTTTTTTCCCTGCTTTCTCCCTGTAATTATTCTGTTCAAACTATTGAGAATCTAGTTTTGCACTCTAGATTCCCTGCTTTTGAAACCTACTTCTGCATGTAAACATCTACTGTTGCCATGGTAATAACACTGTTAAAAATGACAAACAATGCAAAAATCGCACAGAACATCAATAATATACAACAGTAATATGGATAACTAAATAACAATTACAAAACAAACAAAAAAGAAAACAATTTCAAAAGCATCAACCTGCGACTGGAACAGTATTCTAGAACAATACATGAAAACAAATAACCAGACTGTTGCTAAGATATTTTCAAATTTCAAATATGCCTTGTTTTCCAGTCAGATAATAACAAATTTAACTTCAGGTTCAACATTAACTGGGGTCTCCACCTGAACAAACAAAAGAGTAAGTGAATCTTTCCAAGGGGTTGTGCTATCAATGTTTAATCTTACTCATAATGTGCATAGGTTTAAAATCTGGTTAACAAAATTGATATGCAACTTTCAAATATTTAGTAAACTTCTGGAAGAGTAGCATATCTGTGTACAGGAGTGTACATGTGTATGGGTCATGTAAATATGTTAGGTCCTATTAAGAAATATAATAGCTATTTTATGCTTGAAGCCTCATTCTTATGTAGAAAAAAAAAAAGCTGTTTGCCTCTTTGCATTTTGGTCACAAAAGGCTTAAAGTCTTTAAATTATGTAGAAGAAAAAATGTGTGAATGTGACTCCAGATGCATTCCTTTAAATGATTTCCATAGATAGCATCCCACTGTTCATCTAAATAAAAGTTGTTTTTTTGGAGGCACATTGTATGAACAAACACTACAACATCAGTAAAGTATAATTTAGATAAAACTGTTTCTCCTTAGATTTTTTTTTTTTTTTTTTTTTACATCATGTTTGGTCTCAGGTTTAAACATCCATTCCTTAATACAGGAAGTGAGACATCAACACAGACACACAAAAGGACTATTAGCTTTTTAAAAAGTATTAAATACATCTAATTGTTTCCTTGTTTAAACAGAAAAAAAAAATGGATGAAGCTGAGGATCTGCAACTGAAGTCTGATACACAAACAGGGAAGAGAGCATCAGGTGGCCAGGACCCAATCTTCTTATATACTAAAGTAGAAATGGAAACACAAGTCAAAAAAAATATTCTGCCTCGTCGTAAGAGGGCAAAGTCATTTCAGAAACTCAAGAAAAAATGGTAATCAATTGAAACATTAGAATTATTCAAGGTTTATCATGAAAAAAAACATCTATTAATTATAGTGATGTTTAAACATTTATTTCCACAGGCAATCCTGAGTTAGTCACTGAGACCTTTTATTATCCTTTTCTGACAGATTAACAGGATAAATGCTGATATTATTATTAATGTATTTAAAGCTTTTATTTTATTCATGCATATTTCAATCTAATCCTTGAACTATTGGCAAATATTGTAGATCAAATAAAATGAATACCCAATATACCCAATATATCATAGATATCTTTGGCAGTGCCGATGTAGCACAATCACCACCATTTATCAAGTTGCCATCTACACAGGATTGAAGAAGCCTTCAAACAATATAAACTCAGAATGACTTCAAGACACTGTGCATTGAAAAAGAAAAAAATTGAAAAAGAAAATGAGGTGAGACCAAGCTAAGTAACAACTCTTAAGTTTGATTTGGTATTTTTAAAGCATTGGTTTAATCCTTCAATACTAATCAAATTATCATATAGCATTTTATCATAAAAACAAACTGACTTTACTGGCTTTCAAAAGAAAAAAGAAGAAAAAAATAAATCTAAACTTTACCCTGTTTAATCAGAAAAAAATGGATGAAACTGTGGATCTGCAACCGAAATTAGAGAGAGCATCAAGTGACCAGAACCCAACCCACTTATTTACTAAAGAAGATATGGCAACACAAGCCCAACAAGACATTCTGCTTCGTCAGCAGATGGGAGAGTCATTTCAGCAATACACGAATAAATGGTAAGCAGTTGAACCATTAGAAATATTTGAAGTTTAGCATGTTAAAAAAAATCTTCTAATTGTTATTGTTACCTTGCTACGAGCGATGGGCTGAGGGTAAGGTGGTTACTTTGTCCTTTCCCTATGTGATGCTACAATAGAGAAAAGATGAGACTCCATTAGCAAATAACAGGAAGATTTCTTCTTCTTCTGTGTAATGAATATACTCAATACTTCAGGTACCAAATACTTCAGGTATCACTGAGTAATTGCAGTAGATAACCCTGAGATGGTGTGCATCACAAATAGCCATAATATCTTTTTTCTCAGACCTGTATTTTTAGCTGTCAAACTTAAAATACATGACTTTGCTTTTAACTATATATAATAGCATATACGAGTTTTATTCTGCACAAATAAAACATAATTTAATATTTAAGCATTTCAGCTTTTAACTGCATCCATTACTTTAAAAGTATAGGAGTATGTTTTTCTCTTACGTAAAAAAAAGTAACTACAAAACTGTAATGCTACTTTAATGCTGTGCCTCTTTACTAAGCTTTACACATAGGCAACCATTACTTACTCACCAAATGTCATGACAATATGGTTTGGACAAAGAATTGTCCAAATTACAAATAAAAATAAGAAAAAGGTTGTCCTTTGAGGGAGAACACTTTCGAAAAGTGCACAAATACACAATGAATTCTGTAATCATTTAGCTGTTTGTCAGCTAGCTCAACACACAAAGTCCGCTAGCATTAGCATTATTTAGCTTCCAAAACTATGTCCGGTTTTCTGCACGATACTGATCACAAACTACATAACATGGCTCATTTTTTGACTCTCGATTCAATAATCTCTTCAGCTCTAAAAGGTAAGTAACATATGTGCATCAAAATAAATTTTTACTGACCTGTCATATAGGAAAGATGACACACACTTTGAACTTCCATTAGCATTTAACAGAAAGGTTCATTCTTCTTCTGTGTACCCATCCTTCTCTATGCCACCAATGCGACAGGCTCCCCTAGCGGCTATATGTGGAATTGCACTGAATGACTGAAATAACACTGAAGAATGAAAAATTAAGGGATAGAAAAAGAAAAATAATGTTGGGGTGCCTATTTTTATACTTAGTGTTTTTATTTACTGATTATTTGTTTTTCACCTCTCTACATCATGTTCAAGCATTTATCTCCATAGCCAATCATGAATTGGTAAGAGACTTTTTATTATATCGTTCTGACAGATACCTGGAATTAATACTGCTGTGATTATTTATAATGTGTTAAATTATGTACTTTTTTATTCCTTTGCATATTTCAATCCAATCTTTGTGCTCCTGGTTCACCACAAATTTGAGACCAAATATAGCAAATTCTCAATCTGCTAGCAAAATAATGGATAGCTTCAACAGTGCATTTATAGGACAATGATCATGTCTTTTTTTCACCTTGCCATCTACACAGGGTTAAAGAAACCTTCACAAAATATAAACTCAGAAGTGCTTCAAGATGTTATGAAGAGGACAAAAATTATGCAACTGTGACAGAAAACAAGGTGAGACCAAACTGCGTAACTTTAATAATTTTTAAGTATGATTTATTGTTTTTAACTTTAAGGTTTTTGGAAAACAAAAATCAAACAGCATGGACACTGTCTCCCTCCCTTGGTGACCCATCGTTACTATGTTCTATGTGCTGTATTAAATGTCTGTGGCTTTGTATTTTTAAGACATTAGTTTAATCCTTCAGAGAACATTTCAAAATTGATCAAATAATCATGTAGCATCAGTCAATTCTGATTACCTGGAAGTCCTTATTAACTCATAAAGGTAAAAAGAAAAGCTGGACAAAAACATCTTAAAATTTTATTGAACTATTCCTTTCTTCAGAAACAGATGCATTAATTGTCACAAACACAAAAACACTACTGCCTTTCAAAAAAAGTATATATTAAATCTACTCTTTACCTTGTTCACTCAGAAAGAAATGGATGAAGCCAAGGATCTGCAACTGAACTCTGATCCTCAAACAGGAGAGAGAGCATCGGGTGGCCAGGATCCAACCCTCTTACTTGCTGAAAGTTTGGTACAAGCCCACGAAGGCATGTTGCGTTGTCAACAGTTGGCAAAGTCAATTCAGAAATACAGGATCAAATGGTAAACAGCTGAATCATTAGAATTATTTGAAGTTCAGCATGAAAATAATCTCGTAACTATTGTCATGTTTAAACATTCATGTCCATACGCAATCAATAATTAGTCAGACGGCTATTTTATTATAATGTTCTGACAGATTTAGGAGATTAACACTTATTATTATTGATAATGTAGTAAAGGCTTTTCTAGACTAGAGGTAAAATAAAATGAACTTTCAGTATTCTAGCAAAATTGTGCATATATCTGGCAGTGCAATTGTAGCATGATGATCAGATGTCTTTTTTTTTACCTTTCTGTCTACACAGGAATGAAGAAAACTTCATAAAATATCAGCTCAAGGTGAATCCCAGATCTTGTGAAGAGGAGAAAAATTCTCTCTCTGTGACAGAAAATGAGGTGAGACTTCAATAATTAGTATGATTTCATATGTTAAATCATTAATCCTCCCAGGAACATTTCAATTTACATTAATGAAATAATCATATTGAATTTGTCTATTCTAAATGCCTGAAAATCCTCCTTGACTCATAAAGCTAAAACAAAAGACTGGACATAAACATTTTACAATTTTATTTTAAATGTCCCTTCTTTCTGAAGTCTGATACACAAACAGAAGAGAGAGCATCAGGTGACCAGAAACCAACCCACTTATTTACTGAAGAAGAGATGGCAACACAAGCCCAACAAGACATTATGCTTCGTAAAAAGATGGCAAAGTCATTTCAGAAATACAAGAATAAATGGTAAATGGTTGAAACATTAGAAATATTTGAAGTTCAGCATGGAAAATAAAATCTACCAGTTATTGTCATGTTCAAAGATTTATCTACATAAGCACCCTTGTTTCACCACAGATTAAAGGAATACTCAAGCAAATTTCTGAATATGTATTTTTAACATGTAAAGCAAAAAAAAGTCATAATAATAATCAAACTTACAAAAATGTTTCTTTGGTAGTGCAGTTGAATGACCAAATGTTTTTTTGTTTTTTTTACCTTGCCATCTGACAGGTTTGAACCAACCTTCCAAAAATGTCAAGTTAGAGTGACTTCAAATCCTTATTCAGAAAAGGAGAAAATTTCAGTCACTGTGACAGAAAATGAGGTAAGACCAAGCTGATTAACTTCAACAACGCATGACTGTATATGTTTAAAATACTAGCTTAACCCTCCAAAGAACATTAAAAATGAATATGGCACTGATCGCAAATGACGTCGCTGTTGCCCGGATGTTCGGGTGACAGTGCAGGAATCTCGCCAGGTTTTTGCTCGGCAATTGGTGTAGGTAAAAATATTGATTCATCAGTTCATCAATGCTCGGCAGTTTGTTTTTCCAATTAGATATCAATTTGGAAAAGCAAATGAGTGCAGTGAGCAACACTGTTGTGAGCAACTCATACCACTGTATTAGTTCGGTGTCATGAAACAATTTTTCATCTTGAGTTTATTTGCGTTTAGCAAACAAAAATTTGGTGGGCATTAATTTGAACGTATTAATCGCCTAAATCAGCCAATCACATGCAAAATTTGTTTTTCAGACACACAGACATTTCCCCAAAAACACAGTTCTTGTTTAAACTAAAATTGCTAAGGTGCAGTGATCTAGATTTGGTGGTTTAATGTAATTTGTGATCAGTGCCATTGAATCTTCGAATTATCCACAGGCTCAACATTTAGATATATATGAATTGTGCCATTCATCCCTTTTATTGCAGCTGTTAACAACTTGACAGTTGTTCTTTACATAAATACATACACACATAATACATACATTTTCAGTTTGACAATATGTGCTTTCCTGTGACTGATGGTATTGAAGTTATTTTGTGAGATGTTCTCTCTGTCAGAAATTTGTGCCGTTGAGCATACAAAACACTGGAGTCAAACGGGTGTATTTCACCTTTAAGACCTTTGATTTTGTGAAAAACATTTTCACCGTCAAAAGTCAGGATGGAGACATTATCAAAACTATCAAAGACCACCTTCTCAGGCCAGGTATGTAAACCTCTGACACAAAGCATTCATTCCACATCAGTCTTTCACATACTGTAATTTTAACTCTGAAATTACAAGATAGGTGGATCCAAACTTATGACAAGCTGCGCTAATGAAATGAAAAATGTTTCCTCACATTTTGGCTCCAGGAGAATCATACAGAATGAAAATTCATTTCTCCTCCGACCACTCTGGCCTCTATGAGCAGCTGCTGGTCTTTAAGTTTAAAAGAGACTGTGAGCATTCAGAAACATTTGACGTTATGCGCCTCTTGGAGGTCATCCGTCAAACACCTCAGAATGAGGACTCTCAAGCCAGGTCAGAAGCAGAGAAGAAATTTCAGGCTGCAAAGAAGAAAACTCTGACAGGGTAAGTAGTGAAACATTTAGCAGTTTGTTACTATCACTTCATGTAGCATAATGTAACTTGCTTGTTTTTCACTCCTGCAGATGTGAGGTCTTCCTCAGACCAGAGGTGTATCTCAGGAAATATCCATTGCCTCCGAACATTGCAGACATGAAAGACATGCATATGTCTGTTCAATTTTTAATCTCTCACATTTTTTTTTTGTTATTGTTGTTCTCAAATGTTTAAACATGGGGGTTATTTGATTATATTAATCCAATACCATGGACTTTTATTACAGCTAAGACTTTGGCCTGCTGTTAATTGTTGTTACTGGAAGCTATGTGGCTCTAAATGTACTGTCATTTTTACCTTATCAATGGATTTTTTTTCAGAGATTTGGAGAAACAGCCACTTAAGTGGGGGAACTACTCTTGGCGATTTCACTTGCTCCTTTATCTAGAGGAGTACGCCATTTCTACAGCTCTTCAGGAATGCAATCAAGAAGATATACTTGTTGTCACTCATCCAACTGAAAAATATATACTGATTTTAAAGGTGACACATCTAGCTGGGACACAAAAGTCTAATAAATTGCAACCTTGGGTCACATTAACAATAAACTTAAATCTTTTTTGCTAATGTTGCATCAGGCAGAAGATGTCTCAAACATGTCTAATGTTTCTCTGACTGGGTGCATGGCACTGGTGACTCCTTTAAACCAGCAGTTTGAAAGGACATACAAAGGATGGGTGGATGACGTGGATGAGGAGGAAATCTACATTAACTTTGAGGAAACGTAAGGATGCAACAAAAGTAATTGGAAAGTAACCTAATTGTTTTGTCTTTATAATCTTGTCTAATTTCAGACTGTTAATTTAGTCTCTCTCTGCAAAAAGAAGAATCAGGTTAATAAAAATGAGTTTAAACTATTTCCCAACAACCGAGTGAGGTTACATTTTAAATGTAGGCTTGGGAGTGCAGACACTCTATGCAGTTTGATTGAAGTGGAGATATTTTTGCAAAGCACAAAAATCAGTCATGAAAAAAAAAAAATAAAACAATAATGTTCTTTTCCTTTCAGTTTATGGTACTTTTCATTAGTTTGTCACATAAAATACTGATCAAATAAATAGCCGTTTGTTGTTCTAAAATGTCAACAGTGGAGAGTTTCCACAGATGTGAACATATTTGTGAGCTACACTATATTTTAACATTTTTTTTGTCATGTTCTTGTTTGGTACTAACTCAGTTGCTTTTAATTTAAATTCAGCTTTCCAGAAGAATACAACATAGGCGTGAGGTGCAGCATTGTGTTTTCACTTCAAAGAATACCACTACGTATGCAACACAGAGCAGCAGCACTAGCGCGCAAGCATTTACTGAGGGACTTACTCTTCCCTGTTGGGCTATGTTCTGCATACAATTCATGCCTTGCGCCTGTAATCCCAAACTGCACCGGGTCAGTATGTAGTAAAGTCAACACTACCTTGAAAATCAAGTTG